GTCCTTTACACAACGTTACATTGAGCTGATCCATGAATGCGGACACAATGAATAACTCAGTGTATGATAACAAACGACACGTTATTAATAACTAAAATGCCAGCTTAGGAGAATTTGGACCATATCCTTTTAATATTAATATCACATATTTTTAAAAATATACATTACTAAATATTATAGTATCGTGTATTACATGGCTTAAAATATTAAATAAAAATGTTTTTAAAAAAATATTAAAAGCAAGATTACACGACATAAAGGATTTAATATACATTATTAACCAGACAATTTATAAATACATTCAGTATTGGTAATACACTGTATATAGCTTAGTATGCAATATAAATGTAAAATATTTTAGACATACGTTGAATTAAATAAAATCAATACTGCATTGTATTATATATACATTTAGATAAGTACATTTTATTAAATTGATATATTATATCTACAGTTTTTAATACAAAAAAATCTTCAGAATATACAAAACACTCTAAATAATAGTTTAAAAATATTTTATTAAATAAAAATACATATAGATTTAGTATTAATACATAGCTAAGAATTTAAAATAGCTTAATGTAATGCAATTGAAAATAAACCTAATTTTATACATTATCAATATTTGAAAATATAGTGGTGCAATTAAAAAATAATTACTTGTAATTAATTATTTATTATAAGGATGTTTAAATTTCTAATAAACATTTTAAAATACAATAATAATTAATGCCACTACTGTAATATATTATAACTTGTACTGTATTATACCACTCATTAAGTAAGCCGGATCTAAGAGTTTAGTACACTAGATCAAAACCGTAAACCTTTATGACGTTTATCATTTAAAATTAAACTAGCATATAAAAATTATCATAAAAGTTTATTAAATAATAACTACTGTCATGTTAAAATTAATACTGTTAAAGTTTATTATATTTTAAACACAAGTTTTATGGCGCATGCAATTTCTATATAAATACTAGCATCACACAAAAAATATTAACTAACTAATGTTACGTAGTTAAGTAAAATTATTTTTAGTAGATTTTCAAATTTGAAAATAATGCTGAAAATAGTTTCAATATTACTGGTGCTGTGCGCCGGTACGTTGGCCGACCCGGTGCTCAAACCCCAGATCATCGGCGGGACGGATGCCAAACGGGGCGACAATCCGCACATGTGTTCGCTGAGGTCGACGGCACACGGGTGCGGGGCGTCCATCATAAGCGCCAAGTGGGCGGTTACTGCAGCCCACTGTGTGGTAGGGTATGTACAAAAAATATTAAAATTTTAAAATTGTAAAAAAAAATTAAAATTTTATTAATGATATTACAGCGTAAGCCCGTCAGCGCGAACCCTACGCTGCGGTACAATATTGCACGCGTCGGGCGGGAAAGACTACAAATTGACGCAAATTATTATACACCCCGATTACGCCAACCCTAGCCAACTGAACAACGATATCGCCTTGTTGCAAATTGAAGGGGAATTTGATCTTGGTACTCAAGACTCGGATGTTATCAAGCTACCCGTTCAGGACTCGGATTTGACTGCCGATGCCGTCGTAACGGTCACCGGTTGGGGACGTCTTAGGAATGGGGTCAACGATTTTCCGGCGACATTACAGACGGTGGACGTACCGGTGGTGGGAAGGGCTAAGTGCACGGAGCAAAACCGAAATATACTCCCGGTTACGACCGCCATGTTTTGCGCGGGACTTCCGGAGGGTGGTAAGGATGCCTGTCAGGTACGCACGCATTGAACAACTCTGTTGCAATATATTTCGCAAACACTTATTAATATAATTGATTAAATTGATCCAGAATGATTCGGGTGGCCCAGTCAAATATAATGGTGAACTAGTGGGTATAGTGTCATGGGGCAATCAATGTGCCTTGCCAAACTACCCTGGTGTGTACACACGAGTGGCAATTTTCCGTAACTGGATTAAACAGAATACCGGCGTTTAATGTGGACATAATTTAACAACCTTATTTAATATAAATTATTTATTATATAATTTATTTATAATTATTTTGTATTGTTGGTTTCATAAATAATCACTTCTATCTATTATAACATTAATTAAATAAACTCATTATGCAACTTTATTGTTTTTTAATAATTTGTAATAATTTTTTTATAAACAATACGATATTTTAAAAATGAATACCAATGACAATTTTGATGTTACATTAATTAGATTAATGTAATTACATTTTAAATAATAGGCTAGTAAGATTAATTTTATTAAATACTAAAATTATAAAGCATTAAAACATTTTTATAAAATTTGGGTTTATTATAATTTGATCACTGAATTAATGTTTAATTACTAATTTCTATTCATATATTGCCTTGTTATATTTAATAAACATTACTTTCAAAAATCAATTAATAAACTGAATTTCATGGCACAAAAGTATATTAAAAAGCAAAGAATGGCAAATTAATTTTTTAAAACCTATAATGTTTAAGCTAAATTATAAAAATCTAATTTTTAAAATTTTTATTAAAAAGTAAATTATATTTCTAATAAAAACTTTATGATCATATCCTATTCTATTATTTATAACATAAATTATGACATAATAATATTATTATCATTTGTGCAAGTTTAATATGTAATGAACTGGACAACATAAGTGCAATAGTTACAAAGTAGTAACGTACAAGTTTTATTGATATTTTTACAACATTACACGGATCTAGATAATTAAGATTAATTGTAATAAACATAGAAACTTATAATTAAAATTTAGTTGTTATATAATAATGATCATAAATCTTATCAAATAGTTCCAAGTGGCACAAGTTATTTAAAATGTAGTAATCATAATAATTAAAAATTATTTTATTGCACATTTCATATGTATAAATACTAGGACAATCTGGAACAAGTAATTCAGTAAAATTATTTTCAGTAGATTTTAAATTGGAAAATAATGATTAAAATAGTTGCAATTTTACTGGTGGTGAGCGCCGGCATTTTGGCCGACCCGGTGCTGAAACCTCAGATCATCGGCGGGACTGATGCTAAACGGGGCGACAATCCGCACATGTGTTCGCTGCGGTCAACCCGACACGGGTGCGGGGCGTCCATCATAAGCGCCAATTGGGCGGTTACTGCCGCTCATTGTGTGGAAGGGTATGTGTAGTATAATAGTAGGCTTTCTATATATGGACTATCGGCTGCATAATAAGCCTAGATGTTTCAAAATATTTTATTAAACTTATGTGTTTATATGGGCTGTACTAGAGTTACAGTTTGCCTACATTATTACTTAGGATTATTTAACAAACGGCAATCCATATTACTTTTAATGTGCTATTTATTAAGTTACTTATAATACCTATTTATAAATTAATTGGAATTGCTAATTTAAACATGTATTAATAAGTTTAAATATATAATATTACAGTGTGGCTCCATCGGCCCGTACATTACGGTGCGGGACACTCGTTGCCGAACAGGGAGGGAAAGACTACAAAATAGCGCAAATTATTATACACCCCGACTACGATACACCCACCATGATCAACAACGACATTGCCTTACTTAAAATAGAAGGTGCTTTCGATCTAGGTACACAGGACTCAGATATTATCAAACTACCCGTTCAAGACTCGGACTTGGCTACCGATGCGGTAGTAACTGTCACCGGTTGGGGACACCTAGTAAATGGTGGTCCTGCGAATTCGGTCAATTTACAAACACTGGACGTACCGGTTGTGGGAAGGGCTGACTGTACTGAGAAATACAAATCCTTTAATCCGGTTACAACTGCCATGTTTTGCGCGGGACTTCCCGATGGTGGGGTGGATGCGTGTCAGGTACGTACGCACTGAACGCCTCCCATATAAAAATTATTTATTATTAAAATTTTTGATTTTATTTTGTAAATTTTTAAATATTTGATTTTGCAACCCTAATTATGTTTTTTATTTTAAATAATCTAGAATGATTCTGGTGGACCTGTTAAATATAATGGTGAACTTGTAGGCATAGTATCATGGGGTCGACAATGTGCGTTGCCAAACTACCCTGGTGTCTATGTCCGAGTGGCTTTATTCCGCAATTGGATTACACAAAATACTGGTGTTTAATGGACAAGAACAAATTTAAGATAATATCATGTAACAATATATATTTAATTGTTTATTTATTATATTTGTATGTTGGTTTCAAAAGTTATCATTTAATTTCATTATTATTATAAATAAAAATTATAGTTCAATTCAATTCAAAATACTCAAAATATAATTTATTTATTTGTTTATACTTTTTTTAATTAAAAATCGTAACTATTTTTCAAACTATTTTAATCACATTTTACAATTATGTGGTTTAAAAAAATTATTTAATTTAATCGTTATATTACAGTTTAAGAATTTTATACTTTTATAACACTATCAGGATCTAAATATTTGATACGTTCAAAATAATACTGTAATAATTATTATTAAAAAAGAAATACAATATAAAAATAATCTTTAAACACAATAAATACCTACTACTGTCACATGTTATATAAAACATTAAACAATTTTTTATAACATATAAAAAATGCATATAACACAGTACGTATAAATACGCCTACCAAATTCATTTTCAAAGTTTCAGTATATTTTTGAATAAAAAAATTAAAGATTATGCTTAAAATAGTGTTCATTTTACTGGTGATTAGCGCCACCACTTTGGCCGACCCGGTACTGAAACCCCAGATCATCGGCGGGACTGATGCCAAACGGGGCGACAATCCGCACATGTGTTCGCTGAGGTCCACCCGACACGGGTGCGGGGCGTCCATCATAAGCGCCAAATGGGCCATAACTGCCGCTCATTGTGTGGAAGGGTATGTAAATTATTATATAATAGTAGGCCTTTCATGTATTACTTTTAATGTGCTATTTATTATATAACTCCTAATATTTATTTATATGTATTGATAAAATGTAATATAAGTTATGAATTAATTGTAATTTTAAATCTTAATATGTATTAATATTTAAAAATATATTACAGTGTAGCTCCATCAGCCCGTACATTACGGTGCGGTACACTATTGCACGAGCAGGGAGGGAAGGACTACACCATATCCGAGATGATTATGCATCCCGACTATGACAAGCCTACCATAATCAATAATGATATCGCCTTGCTCAAAATAAATGGCGAATTTGATATAGGCATTCCCGACTCGGATATCATTAAACTGCCCACAAAGGGTTCGGAATTGTCACCGGGTACTATCGTAACAGTAACCGGATGGGGGTATCTGGTGAATGGTGGAGGGTCATCACCGGCAACCTTACAGACGGTAGATGTACCTGTTGTTGATAGGGGCTACTGCGCAGAGAGAAACAACCACGTTGCCCCGGTAACCAACGCTATGTTCTGCGCAGGTGTACCCGAAGGGGGTAAAGATGCGTGTCAGGTACGTACGAAGTGAATGTCCCCTAAATTAAATTACAAAAAAATCTATGATATAATAAGGTGATACTTCATTTTAATAATATCAATTTTAAATTATTTAGAATGATTCTGGTGGTCCAGTTAAGTATAATGGTGAATTGGTGGGCATAGTATCGTGGGGTAAACAGTGCGCACTGCCTGATTACCCAGGTGTATACGCACGAGTATCTGTTTTTCGTGATTGGATTAAACAGAATACCGGTGTTTAATAAATGTAAATATTTTAATTTGTTAAACCAACAATATTAATTTAAGAATATATAATAATAAAATATAAATTTCTTTAGAAACTATGAAATAATTATTCATTTATTAAATACAATATCATTTTGCTAGATATTTCATTTAAATATACATGTATACAAAAATAATTTCATGTTTACTTAATTGGCAACTACATGACATTATATAAAATAATCGTGTATCATTGCTGAAATTGTTATTTAAAATTTAAAATAATTATATGCCCAAATAATAAATTGTATTTTATTACGCAGTACTTATATAATAAAAAATTGGCAAAATTATATAATTTTAATAAGTAGATCATAAGCATAATATTATAACTATTTAGAAATGGATTCAACAAAATTTTTACCACAAATATCAATAAGATATAAATACGTGTTGACTATCTTACTTTATTTAGCTATGTACTTTTATGTAAGTAGAGTATCTATTTCTGAAAATAAAATAAAAATTACTTTTAAAATATATTATATTAGAATTTATCAGGTTACATTGTTGGACCAACCTTAACGGACATGGAAGCCCTTTACCAAACAACCTTGCCTATTATTTCAGACACTAACGCTGTGAATTATGCGTGCTATGCATGTGCTGCGTTTGGTAATTTATTAAAATATTTACCAATATAGTATGTAATTTAAATTAAGCTTGCTAACATATTTATAGTATTATTTGGCTCGGAGTACATTAACAAACAGATTGGTTGTATGTGTTGTTTTGTAGTCATTGGCATAAGTGTGGCACTTATGGCAAGTGTGTCGACAATTGGCAACTATTTTGCTATTAACGCCATCAATGGGTTCAGTTGCGGTGTAGTCGACGTACTGACCAACGTATGGATCGTCGAAATATGGGAACAGGACTGTGGGCCATATATACAGGTAGAGTGACCTTGATAATATTTTTAAAAGTTTTATTAATTAAGTTTAATAATTAATTTAAGTATAGGGCTTACACCTAGCGGCTAGTATAGCGGCTATTACTGTACCTCAAATTGTCAAACCATTTTTGAGCAATGTCCATACACTTTACATACCATACACAATAATTGGCGTGCTAATAGTAATCAGTGGATTGTCCCTTGGTGCTACGTATTGGTATAAGAAATATATTCCACGTCAAATTAAAAGGAATGACAATTTTAGGGACACAAATGTAATTCAAAAGTTAATTGCTAATTTTAAATCCGAATTAATGCCCACTAGACAAACATTTAAATTAATAATATTAAGTGTGTTATTAATGGCCCTGGGTGTTGCTATTCTAAATACTCAAGTGAACTACTTGTCCACTTTCGCCCAGTTATGTGGTTTGCATATGTCGGTAACAAATGCGGATGTCCTTGATAATGGACTTACTGGTTCAATGGCAGTCAGTAGGCTAATAGCTATGATAATATCAAAGTATCTAGGTCCTATATATATATTATTTGGAGGTCTTATGTTAATTACTATATCCGAGGTTATATTTTTGATATTTTCTAATTATTCGTTATACGGTATATGGTTTGCCAATGTAATTTTTGGTTTAGGGCTAGGTCCTTTATATGCTGGTGGTTATAGCTTGATTGAAACCATTACCCCGGTGACTAGTACAATGGGAGTTTTTATTACATTTTCGGTGGGTATTATCTCAATGATTATACCATTTATTATGGGAACCCTAATGAATATAAATCCCTTTTGGTTGATCTATGTAAATTTTATTTTATTAGGTTTCTCATTTATTTTAATAATGATAATTTTTGTATTAACCAGAAAGTCCAAGTTAAATTCTATAAATAAATAAAAATATTTATATATTTAATACTAATTTTAGTGTAATCATTGATTTTATTAAAATCATATTATTGTATTAATATTATATTTACTTTTAAAAATTCAATGTTTATTTGAAAATTAATTAATAGACTAATAATATAATCTATTAATACATATAGTTTATTGCTAATTAATGTATTTACGAAATTCACAGTTACAAGACATTTTTACTAGTCGTTTATGTATGACATTTATTATATTTCAAAATGTCTAGGATTGTTAATTGTATATTTATAAATTTATTTTCTTATTTGAGTCGTTTTGTTAAAATAAAACTAATAACTATAACTAAATTAGTATTTATACCACGCATGATTTATTTATTATATATCTTTGTATTATAGTATTTACTCATTAATGTATGATATAAGATAAATATAAAATAAACAGAATAGTTTATAGTAAACTATACTGTTTATATTTTATTAGTAACACTAAACTAAATTATTATAGTATTTTACTAATTGTATAAATACATAATAGACCCATAACATAATTTAAATTTTTATAAATAATAATAATAGCACAAATTAAAATTAATCAACAACTATTTTAACTAGTTCAAAAAATTATTCAATTAATTTAAACAAAATTATTTAAACAATTCGGTAATAATTAAATTTTATTGGATTCAATAAATTTAAAAACACTTACAGGGTTGTTTAGTAGGTAGCAATAATTTTTAAATATTAATTATGCAACTCGTAAACACCGAAAAATAGTGGCCCTAGGAAAAACTCATACAACTTAGCAGGGTTAAC